AATCAGAGGAGGACGTGCTGGTCTCAGCCTCCTGGCGGTGTTCAGTTTGTCACCTAATGCTGAGATCGACTCAAAACCTTCTGCGATCGACATATTGCGCCCTGTTCTAGCAAAGCACGAACAGTTCAGAAACAATATGAAATGGGAAAAAGTTATTTATTGTTCTTTAAAAACTAATCAGTCACGGCTGATTAGTGGGTGAACTCACAGCTGCACTGATTTTTACTGCAGACAGCCGCTCCCCTCTCTTGCAGGTTCCTAAAATATGGTAAGATACCGTCAGCTGTGGTTTTCCCTTAGTAAAATTGGCCATATCCTTTTAGTAAATTAAAGATGCTGACGGAAGAGAAAAATTAGGTAGCATTGCCCTTTACCCAACTTCACCTTCGTCCAAGCAGCAGGGCCTACCATCCAGTTCTCCAAATGTGACAAATCTATGGTTGATTTGTCTCTCATAATGACGGTGGCGTCGGCTGCAGAAGTTTGCCCTGCAATTGGTAGATTGCTACTTCGATTCTTGGTCTTCCTTTGAGATTTCAGTTTGATATATCAAAGTCTTTATAGATTTAATTATTAAAAAACAAACCAAAGTATCACACCTGCATTCTAATCTATGTAAATTACTTTTGCAGTCTGGTTTATGGTTTTACATCATAGATATAAACATCAGCAGGTGGCGCAGGGGTGAAGTACAACCCACGTATTGAGGCCTTAGTCCTCATGCTGGTGGTCGCAGGTTCGATTCCCAGCCTGGTGACATTTGCCGCATGTCTTCCCCCTCTCTCATAACTCTATTTCCTGTCAAATTATTTTCAAATAAAGGCCACTAGAACCAACAAAACCTTAAAAAAAAAAAACATCAGCAAAATTTGGAATTTTGACTCATTAATATGTTTATGGAGTTATTGTAATTCCATGTACAGTAATTAAGTGCTTTTTATATTACAGTCAACAATCGTAACTATTTTACCATTTTTTGCCGTAAATTTGCGGACTTATTTTGCAGTGTTGACTGACGGTGATTCCTTTCTACGGTAATAAAATGTTTCGGATTTTACGGTCAGAAACTGTCGTATTTTACCATTTCTTTCCGTGAAATTTACGGACTTTTTTTTTTTACAGTGTATGTACAGTTTCAGCGTCACCTAATGCTACCATACTTATTCAACCACCAAGTACAATGTTCAGGAGAATGCAAAAAACATAATTTTTAATAGTATGTATTTTGTTAGTAATATTTTTTAAAAAAACGTCATCACTGAGAGCTGAAGTACTTGATGACTCAGCAAAGAATTATTCTATTTAAGTGTGGAGAACTATACCATTTTTTTTATTTATCAATAATAAGACATGGCTCTACTTTAGTGAAGGTTTCTGTTTGTTTTGTTTTAAGAACAACAAAAAATGTTAACAATCAAATCTTTTACTAAGCATCAAAATGTTTCTTCCGCGTTATATTTTCCGCAGGGTTATTTTCCACTGAAGACTGGACTATTTAAATATTCATAGCCTTTATATGCAAGCCCCGCCCACTTTACATGTTATTAAAATTATGGAGTTTGGTTTATGACTTTATTAAATATGAAATAACAGTGAAAGGGGGTGAATAAATGTCTTAATCAAAATATGCAACAAATAGACCCACTGAGCTTGATCACAAATAATTCATTTTTGTTAAAGAACTACATGATCCAAGGGGCTTCGCTCCATGATCTGTAGTCAGCCGTTCATGGTAAGTCTAGTCATTTGTTAACTCAATTTTACGCACACTCCTCCTCCAGAAAGACCCTCCTACTTCAAGTGACCACTATACAATCCCAGTAAGCTTATAAGCACACAGACGCTGCTGTCGTGGGCTGTTGTGCGCATAAAATTTCCACTGAACGCAGGCATGGCAAAAGATGCTCGAGACAACTGGGAAAGTCCTACGCAGTTTGTACTGGCTTGTGTTTCATATGCCGTCGGACTGGGAAACGTATGGAGGTTTCCTTACCTCTGTCAAATGCACGGTGGAGGTAAGTTATGCATTCTCATCTCCGCTTACTTTACTGTAATGTCCATGTTTGTCAGATGCGTAAACAACTGATGTTTGTGTGGTCTACTTTATTGTTTTCTTGTGGAAGCTAAAGCTGTTTGAAGAGTAATTGTGCGGAATCTGTTCCATTTCATTTATCAGTTCAGTGGCGTTCAATGCCCGTTAAAATAGCCAGGTCCAGTATTTTAAATGAGACGCTGTGCTTTATTTCAAGCTTGAAAAATAGATGGGAATCTAAACGTATGTGGAATGCTTGGTATGAATAAGTCTTTGTGATACAGTGAGCAGAGGCAAACGCCGGGTGGGACTTAACTGTTTTAAAGCGAGACGTGTGTTTGGTGGTAAATTTCCATAAGGGAACCCAGAGCTGCTATTGTTACCAGGCTGTTGTTTCACAGATAAAAAATAACCGTGGAACACTGGTCACCACAAAGCTGCGTGCAGTGGAAAGCATTTCTGTCAAATAATTACTTCCTCGGTTTTAAAAGGTGGAGAGGTTATACTTTACGGATTGTTAGTTATGAAGAAAAAATGACGGATAAATCTTCATGATTCATAAGTTCTTTCTTATAGTTTAATGTCGTGGTGACAGAATACCAGTTTCCTCACCGTGTGTCGATGTGTTGATTTTCTGCAGGTGAAAACATGTCTCATGTAGACTTTCAGGGTCATCAGAACCCAATCTAAGAACTTGCTCATTACCTTGGAATAAACAACGAAGAGATCACGAGACATGATATAGTTTATTTAAGGGCTAAGATTATGGTTTAAATTATAGTCCACTGCGCCGTAGTACGTTAAAACAATCTTTGTACATCATTAGTTTGCTTCATTTTGAGGAAGGGGAGAAAACATGCAGAGATAAAACTGCGAAGGATTAGAAGATGTTGATGATCTACTAAAGCAACGTGATCAGGAGCCTTTAATGTTTCCTATAACTCCATAAACTGCTTTGAAGAAAGAGTGCAATTCCCGATTGATGTCATTGCTCACCTTTTAAATGAACCTTTTTCAGTTTTGCAAACCCGTGTGCTTCAAATGTTTATGATGAGACGTACATAATAAAATTTCACAAACAGCATGCCTATTCTTTGACCAAAAGGCACTTTTTCATTTTTTAATGGCTATGTTTTTACATACATTAAAATTGTGAATATTAGATTCCTGTAAAAATCATGTTAGGATTTTTGGATTTAATGTCCATCCATGCATCCATTCATCCAATCTCTTATTATTATTTGGGTTCCGCCGCTGGGGTAGCTGCCTAATCGGAGAGACTTAGACTTCCCTCTCCCCAGCCACTTGGGCAGCGCTGGCCCACGGTATAAGCAAACTAAGCGGCCACTTAGAGCCCCAAGGCCACTAGAGGCCCCCCTAAGTGGAACTGATTTTTTTTTTTAATGATTTCTATGTTATTATATTACCAAAACACACAATTTCATTCTAAAGTTGTGATTTCATTTTACAAAAAAATATATAAAACGTATGCAGGGGCGCCGTATAGGAGGGAAAAGTTATGACAATTCCAAGGGCCTCTGACCAACAGGGGGCCCTCCACAATTTTTTATTTTATTTTTTCATAGAAATTTAAAAAAATGGGGCCCTATCAATTTCAAAATTAATTATATTGTGTTTTCTAAAATTGTTTTTAGCAGTAAAAATTTAGTGTCACCCCTCCCAGACCATAAAACACACAACTATATTTGCCCTGAAGACCCCCTGGATCTTCATGAAATGGTTAATTCCTTCTTGGCGCTTGACATTGACGGTGTTCAGCAGCAGTCAGTAGAAGATGAGAACGACTGTGGCAGTTACTATGCTGCTAAGAAAAATAATAGTTAGGTTTTCAATTAATAGAGACAGAGAGAGAAAAAGGTAAAAGTGTTAATTTATAACCCAATTTTTTTCCAAGAGAGGTGGATAGACTGTGTGAGATTATCAACTGTTTATCATAGTTAGCTTAGCTACAAACTGCTGTTTGCCTCCATTTCAC